GTGCCAGGACAGCCTCCAAAGCTACACAGAGAAACCCTGTCTCGAAAAGAGTACTTGTTCTCAAGGACATAGAGTCTCATTCAAGCACCAAGCATGCATGTGGCGCACAAACATACATGCAGACAAAACACTCATACATGCAAAATAAATTAATAAATTAAGGAATATATATATTTATATAGATAGATATATAAATTTATTTAATTTTTGGAGACAGGGTTTCTCTGTGCAGCTTTGTAGAACAGGCTGGCCTCGAACTCACAGAGATTCGCCTGCCTGTGCCTCCGGAATGTTAGGATTAAAGGCGTGCACCACCACCGCCCTGTTGCAATATATATTTTTAAAAATCTTTTTTTAAAACAGATTTTGCTAAATTGTCCATGTTGGCATGCAACATGCAATCCTCCTGCCTAGCCTCCCGAGGGACGGCAGGCGCCCACCAAGCACGCCCTGATGGGGTAGGCTGGATTGCACCCACGGCGAGGGAGGCCCTCTGCAGAGGACACGATCACACGAAGGCTGTGAGAACGTTTTGTAACCGCAAGAGGCATGGTCTGCGTTTACACTCCCGCTCCACGTTATCAGAATCCTCAGGGTGCGGGCTCTTTAAGAAGGCCAAGCGAAGGCGCCACAAACCCCGCCCCGGCACCGGGCTGCACAGAGCGTGCGCGGTCCGCACGCGGTTCCGGGTCTTGGTGTTGGGCTCGGCGATCTGCGGGTGTGGGGCTCGGCTGTAAAGTTTAGGAAGTTGCTTCTGTCTCTCTGGCTCCCGAGTCGCCCGCCTTGCCACGCAGAGGTGGCCGGGGAGCTGGCGGCTGGGCCAAGTGGGGAGTGGCAGCGCCGGGGTTCGAACTCGCCCGAGCGCTAGGCGAGGCGTCGCAGGCCCGAGATGAGCCAGTCTTTGGTTTGCCCCGAAACCGTGAGCAGGTGAGACTCGGGGACTGCGGGACGCGGGGTGGGGACACGTGAGCCGGGAGCTGATCTGCGGTGGCCCGGCCAGCTGGGAGCCCCTGGGGCCAGACTGGGTGCCCCAGAAGGGCGGGCTGGGGGCGGAGCCAGGTGGTTGCGTCCCTGCCGGGGGGCGCGGTCTGGACGGTGGCTCACAGGCAGGGGAGGCTCCTAGCCCTGCTCCTGTTCTGCAGGGTGAGTTCTGTGCTTAATCGAAACAGCCGGCAATTTGGGAAGAAACATCTTTTTGACCAGGATGAGGAGACATGCTGGAACTCTGACCAGGTGAGGCGCTTCCACGCCCCTCCCTCCCGAGTGCGAAGCGGATTCAGCATGCAGGGTGCCTTGAGAACTTTGGGGAGACTAGAAAGGACGGCGTGCTCACACTGTTCCTGGACTGGCTATGGCAGTGGAACTTGAAAGATGAGCAGAGCATAATGGCCCTCACCCTGAAGTTACCAAGTACCTCAGTTTACCCATCTGCTTCCAGGGCCCCTCCCAGTGGGTGACACTCGAGTTTCCCCAGCGTGTTCACGTCACGCAGCTGCAGGTGCAGTTCCAGGGCGGCTTCTCCAGTCGCCACAGCTACCTGGAAGGTACTGGAAGGTTGTGAGAGGTGGGTGTCAAAGGGGTTCCCTGATTCTCAGCCTGTCTTTCCCCACCACAGGTTCACAGTCTGGGGACACACTCAGCAAGATTGTGGACTTCTACCCTGAGGACACAAACGCCCTTCAAATATCTTGCTTGGCCTGGGGTATGAGGGTTCTGTAGGGTGTGGTGGGACAGGCACTGGGGAGACTGAGGTGAAGGATCTATAATAATGTTAGGCCACCCTGGCCACATAATCATAATGTCTCAAAAGAATTAAAGCTTTGGCCTTGTACACCTGAGGAGGAGCTATGGCATGGAGCTTCAGTGCTCAGAGGCAGTGGCAAGAGGGTGAGGAGTTTAAGGTCATCCTCAGCTCCACAGTGAGTTTGAGGCCAGCCCAGGCTACCGAGGACCCTGTATCAAAACAAATAAGAAGGTGCCTAGCGGTGGTGGTGTACGCTTTTGATCCCAGCACTGAGGATGGATCTCACAGGTGGATCTCTGTGAGTTCTAAGACAGACAGGGCTGCACAGTAAGACCCTGTCTGGGGTGTGGAGACAGGGGGAAGAGAAAATGCTGTTGATTTCGTGCTGAGTATGAGAGGCACCAAGATTCTGTAGTCACCTGGTCCATTTGGGTGGTGTCTGGGAAGATGGGGCCTGGTGGGTCAGAAACAAAGTTACCATGTCCTTGACTGCAAGAGGTCACACCTTCTCCATCCCCACTGTGGAGGTGGACAGACTGAAGTTGACCTTTGAGGACACCACCGACTTTTTTGGCCGTGTGGTCATCTACCACCTGCGGGTGCTGGGTGAGAAAGCAGTGTAAGAGCTACCGGCGGCCACTTCCTCCAGGAAGCCCCCCTGAACACCCAGAAGCCCTTCAAGTTCACAGATTTATTGGTTCCTGTTGGGGAGGGCCCTCTGCCACCACTGTCCAGGAGCTGCCTCAAGCCAGTTGTGGGAGACTGGTTTATTCCCTGAGTGCCTGGGTTCCCAATAGGCTGTCTTCACTCAGGGTCTGCAGGCCCCAGAGTACTCTGGAACAGTTTCAGGATATGGGTCTCCATCACCTGTTGCACTGTGGGAGGAGGTTGGAGTGGGTGAGGGGAGTGGAACCGCGCTGCTCAACCTCAAATGTAAA